ACACACACACACACACACACACACTGACGTTGTGTAGATACTCAAACTGTCTCTATTGTCGTTTGCTCTTCAGAATAAAAGAGTACTTCCTGCCGCAGATACCGAAGCCGAGGATCATGGGTATCGACCCGCTGCTGATGAAGGTAACGCGTCTGATTGTCCCGCCTCCTGTCAATCAGCCATCGCTGGTGTCTTTGGCGTGTGAGCTGCGTCGTGACATCGTCTGACGGTTCAAAGTTGAAGCTTCAGTTAAATCACAAACTGACTTTTGACCTGACTTTTCTCTTTTCTTCATTTCTCCTCCACCTGTCTTCTCCTCTTCTCTTCTCTCCCTCTCTCTCTTTTGATTCTTTTTCTGTCTCTATCTCTGTTTTTGTCTTTTTCCTGTCGTTCTTCTTTTCTCCATCACTCCTTCTCTGTCCTCCTCTCTCTCTCTCTCTCTCTACCATTTCCTGTCTCCTGTTCCTTTTCTTTTCATCCTCTCCTTCCTCTTTTTTCCTCCTTCATTCTCCGTCATCCTTCCTTCACTCCCCTCCTCTTATTTCTGACTCTTCTCCCTCCCCCTCTCTGTCCTCCCTCCTTCAGAAGGGGAACCTGGATGAAATCAACCGTCACCTCAGTAACTTCCACAGCTACAGACCTCCGAGCTACACGGAGGAGGTGTGGGACCAGGTCAGCGGTGACAACCTGTACGTGACCTCTCCGAAGCTCCTCAGCGTCCCGGCCGGCCCCATGGGCGACGATAAGGAGGCCTTAGTGGTTCCCGTGGCCGCCCGACTCCAGTTCACAGCCCAAAACCGGACATCCTACATGCAGAGCCTGTCGCCGTACTGCTCCTCGCCTCCCGAGGCCTTCGCTCCATCGCTGCCCTCCTCGTGGCCAAGGCCGGAGATCATGTCCCTGCCAGGGACAGACTACAGCGTGATGGGACAGGGCAACTCTTTCCCCGTCCCCGACGCCACCGCCGTTAACGCCAACGCCTCGCCTCAGGATTTCTACACCTGCGTCCAGCTCATGAATGAAAGCGGCGATGTGCACCTGGTGCCGTGTTTGCCGCCGCCGTACTGCAGGGAGTTCCCGCCTCTGCAGAGTGGCGGCGACGAGAAGGAAGAGAAGAAGAGGAAACTTGCCGCGTACCAAGCCAGGAAGAATTTGACGAGCGAGCCCAAAGATGGCGGCAAGGCCGAGAGGAGCGAGGCGTCCGTGCCTCTGCTGCCTGTCGCCGTCGACAACAGGGGCTGATTGACAGGAAGCACGCCGAATACAAATACGTGGAAACTAAAGAATGTCTGCAGGACGTTCGCTTGCTCATGTTCAGACCTCAAACAAAGAAAAGAAACAAACTCTCCGTCTCTGGTCCGATATCCTGAGTTGTGTTCGGGCGACCGACACTTTCTTTGTTAAACTGTGTGGAACCAAAACGTGTTGTTTAATGCAAACATCAGATTCCAGGTTGAAATCTGTCAAACCAGAGTCTGGAAACAAACGAGAGAACAAGATAACGACCGCTTCACCACGCGCTGCTTCTGCTACACCGTGTTCGTCTGCGCTCAGCTTCGGGGCCTCTCTCAGGAAATACTCAACTGTGCGGTGTCGAGATCTGGAGGAGACAAAACAACTGCTGGTTCATCGAACGCTCAGATCCTCTGTTGGTGTTTTCACGTCAAACCGTTCGCCTTCCTCATCAGATTCAGTTTGAATTCACTGGAGCTCCTCCGTCACTTTCTCTACGTCACTGTCGCACATCTCAAACCTTCATCATGTCTCACCGGAGTGAAGTCGTTGTTTATATCTGCTTCATATCAACTCTCCCTCTGGCGTCCGTGTGGTGAGGACACAGAACACGGGCGTGACACTGATCTACACGTGTGTCTCTCAGTCATCTCATCTCATCCGTCAGTATTTAAGCTCGTCTGTGATGTTTCTCGTGTTTCCCTTCAATGTTGTGTTGTTTTATTCGACAGAAAAAGAAAAACTGATTTTTTTCTTTCGTCCTAAAAATTATGAATTTAACACTTTAACAAATCTTTGTGTATTTTCAACATGCTGAAGTGACCAGTGTTTATAAATAGAGAATAAAAGCAGCTGATGTCGATGACGAGGTGAAATCTGACCGTCAGCTACCGGCTCTGGTCTTTGACGCATCACAGGATGTCGTTTGATTCAGGTTTTAAACATCCAGAACTTTTTACTCAGATCTGAAGATTCTTCTCCTCTGTAACGAGTTGTCACATCATCATTATTATTATTATTATTATTATTATTATTATTATCTGTGGGACGTCCTGACCCTGACCCCAGCTACCTCACCTCGGAGGACGTCCCTGTGGCCAAAGCTTTATTCCAACGTGTTTCTTTCTTTGCCGTCGAGCACCAGAGACGAGCCCATAGCTGAATAATGTTTCCACCGTCCGCAGCTGTCGATTCTGTCACGTCACTTCTCCGTGGGATCCAGAGTTTGTAGCTGTAACGTGTTTACTCTCTTGAAAAGTCGTCATTCTGGCCCCCCCGGCCCTCGTCACCTCTGAACTCGCTGATGTGGCGTCGTCTCGTCGTTGCCGTTCGATGTCGTGCCGTGTCTGTCAGCGTGCCTGTGTGTGCCTTGTTGTTCACTGAAGTGTTTGTGTGAGGAGTAAACAGTTCACGCACTTTGTGTTGAGTAAAAAAAACTAAACCGCCTTTTATTGTGACACTTTCTACTTGTGGGACAAAAGCACTTTCTCTTAACTGCAATAAAAAGTGAAAAGGCTGCTGAGCGTGTGAAGAGTCATCATTTCTGTGGAGTTTAAAATAAACCTGAGGAAGATTCATCGTCCATTTTGTTAATCTTATATTGTCCAGATAACAAGTGTGTGACTCCAATTATCTGCTGACATGAATAGTGGAGACGATGGTCAGCTGACGGCAGATTAACACACGGGGGGGAAGGAGTAGAAAATAAAATCTAAATCATCAATGTGAACTGAATGATGGAGAGAATATAAGAAAGAAAAGATATAATAAAAAGAAGACGTTCATGTGATCATGTGATATTTAAATCAGAGCCAGTCGTCAGAATCAATGAAAATACTCTGAACTGCAGCGTCACCTGAGTACAAGTACTCGATTACATGCTGGTGTCGAGTGTCAGGGTCTCCACAGGCCTGCTGGGGGATGTGGGGGAGGATTTGGAGAGGAGGAGGGGGGAGACTAACTTTAGGAGATAGTGTCAGTGCGGCCGGCGTCAGCTTCAGACCAGATCACCTCCTCCGGCCTGACCCGTCTGAACAGAGGTAACACACTCACACACTCACACACACACACACACACAGCAGGAGCTTTACATGAAGCTGAGAACCAGACGTTTGGTTTTTCTGTGAGTTTTCACACGTCTGATCAAATGTTTTAAAGCCTGAAGCTGTTCGGCCTCTTCACTGTGACGCTGCAGCTCAGGCAGCTGTCACGTCACTAAAAATAGATCTGCTGGAAGGCCTCATATCACACTCACACACACACTCACACACACACTCACACGCACACTCACTCACTCACACAGTTTTGTAATCACTGTCATTTTTCTGTGTGACGCAGCTCACTGGAATGATTTTCTCTGTGTGACTCACTGAAGTTATTTTATATATTTCTATATAAGTCTGAAGTTACTCATGAAAAGTTCTGAACAATAAGAAACAATCCTTTTAAATTCATGACAGTGTTTTTAAATTGGACATAATAATTCAGCTCTGATCTCTTTCCCTCGGTGGTGTTTTAGTTTTAGGATCATTCGTAGTAACTCTAATATTATTTCACATATATTCCATTGTCTTCATTTATTTCTGGGTGTTTCCGATTGTGTGGTTTCAAGTTTGACTTAAATAAATCAAGTTCATCATTAAGACCGAGTCATGATGGAGCTTCTTGTTTTTTAAGTAAATGAAGGTGAAAATCTTGTGACTTTTCGTTTCACGTTGTATTTGTTGAATTTCTCTCAACACTTACTTTTGCTCCATGTCATCAAATGAACTAATCACCGAAGTTCTCCGTTACTTATAGACTCAAAACCTCAGTGAAGCTTTCTGTCGTTTCATTTTTTCAAGTTTGGAGAAAGAACCAGACAGAGAGGCAGCCGGCAGATAAACGCTCAGGTGTTAGCTCAGGTGTTAGCTCAGGTGTTAGCGTTAGTGAGCCTTTAAGACACTGGGATCAATCTGAGGTCAAAGGTCAAATCTGAAGTGATCAGGACTCTTCGTCTGATCCCGACAGGAACACAAACACACACGTGAGACTTTCATCACTTTCATCGTTTTCCTCAGACATCCGGTCTCACCAGCAGGAAGAGAGGGATCTTGGTTGCCATGGAGTCGGCCAACGAGAGCGAGGAGCGCCGGGATCAGGCGGTTCCTGATGGAGACGAGGAGGAGGAGGAGGAGGAGCAGAGCGTCAGAGGAGTCCAGTCCCATTACCTCCGCTGCCCCTCCCCCAGGTACGAGACCGACCTGAGCCACACGTCAAATCCCTCAAATAATTAGATTTGATGTTTTGTCAGAGGAGAAATCATCACGGAACTATTTTCTATATCGTCTATATTTATACAAACACATTTAGACCTGAGGAGGTGTGGTGGAATGGATTATTGAGTTTATTATTCTTTAGTCATAGCAATAATAATTCATTTTACTTTTCAGATGGTATAAAATACAGGATTTGAGATTCTGACTCTTTTTACAGACTTGATAATAATTAATTTTAGTTTGCACAATGTGGACAAACTGGTTGTTTGTTGAATAAAACCACTTTGTCTGTTTGGTTTGTGACGACGTCTCGGGATGTGACAGTTCAACTGAGCGGCTCGTGATCTTTGTCTTTCTCCTCCTCAGTTTCTCAATGATGTCCGACTCCAGGTTTTCAGCCATCTCCGGCTCCGACGCCGCGAGTATCTTCATGGAGCCCATCCACCTGTCGTCAGCCATCGCTGCCAAGCAGATCATCAACGAGGGTGAGACGAGTCAGAGAAACAGAAACAGCCTCAGGGACCAAATTGTAGGACAGTTTTTAATTATTCATCAATTATCGTCAGTCGACAAAATGTCAAAAATAATGAGACGTGTCCTTCGGCTGCAGCAGCAAATTGTTTTCCACGAATCTTCTGCCGTTTAATTAAGCAAACACAAAAACACAAACCTGAGCGGCCGAGCGACACTTCACAGATCTGTGTATAAGTCTCTGATGTCATGTGTTCTGATCAGAAGCTGTATCACCATGGAAACCGGACAAAAACCGTCCTCACTTTGTCCCATGACTTCAGGTCACCCCCCCCCCTCCCCCCCCACTCTATTCTGTCCTCATTCCAACACACGATTCTCTCGTCCTCATCCAACGACTCTAATTTGGTCAAATCCTCTTCCAGTGCTTTGAGTCCACGTCTCGTCCCTGCAGCTCATTACCGGACGGACACATGGAGACGTTTGTCATTCAGAGAGCGGAGTCCTGCTGATTGAGGAAATTATCCTGAACGAGTCGTGGAGCAGCTCCGGCCTCAGATTCCTGCTCCGACATTATGTCACATTAGCTGCATCTTAATGGACGACACATGTTTCATCTGCTGGGACACGAGTACATTTTCACCAGCGGCTGATTCTCGACCACTCGCAGTTTCGTGGTTTTCTCAGAGACGGACATAAGAGGGAAAATGGATGTGAGCGCTCCAGCGTCTCCATTAGGTTTTAAAGATGGAGGCGTACCTGCTCTGAACACCCCCCCC